GAAAAGAAAAGAAAAGAAAAAGCCACTGTAGTTTCAGCTGGAACAAGTCCCTGCCGGTTCAAATTGCAGACTGTAAGGGTTTGGTTGAACCAGCTCATCTTATTTTAAACATTTTTATTATAAAATATCATAAACAAATAGCTTATACTACATAAATATACAGTTTACCAAACTATTACAAAACAAGTACCCAGGTGATATCACGGCATCAAGAATCTGAACAGTACCCTGGACAGCACCCTAATGCTTCTCGTTGTGCCCCTTCCCAATTACAATCGACCCTTCTGATTTTTGTGCTATTGACTTCCTTGACTTTCTTTATTTTTATTTCTAACATTTCATTTCTCTTGATATACACCTAGGAGTGAAGTTGCTGACTCATGTGTAACTCTATGTTTAACTGCTTGAGGTGCTGCTGGACTGTTCCTAAGCAGCTGCACCATTTTACATTCCCGGGAGCAGGGTGTGAAGGTGCTGAATTCCCCACATCTGGATGATGATGCCTGCTTTTGTCCCACTCTATGGGTCATCCTTTCCTGTTTCTTTGTATGAATTATATATTTTTTTGTTGGAAACTGAAGATTTTAATTAATATGTTGTAGCAACTCGGTACTAGTCCACTGCCTCCAGGGCTTGTTATTGTTATTTGTCTGTTTAGTGACTGGCTGGATTATTTTAGTGAAGTCTTTACCCTCCTCCCCACAGTCTAAATACAAAGCCTCTGTCATTGGTCCTCAGGAAGTGCAGCCTTGGGTATTCCTACAGTCACCCTGGGATGACAGTGGTTTGGGCAAGGCTCTCTTTGACTGACTCTTTCCCTGGCTACACCCAGCTGTTAAGCTCCATTCAATGCCAGCTGAGTCCTCTGTTGTTTTCTTTAAAAATTTTTTGTAATGTTTATTTATTTTTGAGAGAGAGACACACACAGAGCATGAGCGGGTGAGGGGCAGACAGAGAGGGAGACACAGAATCTGAAGCAGGCTCCAGGTTCCGACCTGTCAGCACAGAGCCTGACGCAGGGCTCAAACCCATAAACTGTGAGATCATGACTTGAGCAAAGTCAGGCTCTTAACCGACTGAGCCACCCAGGCACCCCCTCTTTTGTTTTCAACAATGAATGTCCTGGGACCTAAATTGCTCCATAAACTGATCCAATCAAATTTGGATTCTTTGAAGGAATAGGATTTGTATCCCTGAATCTACCTGAGGGTTCAATCTTTTCTCGGCCCTCATTCCCACTTACAACAGGGCCTCAAAGGCAGAGCTCAGCATCATAGGCCCTTCCTTCCTCTCTCCAAATATTTCAGTCCAGAGAGTTCCTTGTTGTTGCTGTTGTTGTTTTCAGCATCTTTTCTGAAATAGATACACAAATATTCTTCCAAACTGCTTACACTAGTCCCTTGTCTTCAGACACCTGAACCCAAGAATTGAAGAAATAAAGATTGTATCTTGTTCCTCTGTTACTTTTTTTCCCCCAATAGGGTCAAGATGTAGATTGAAGAGAAAGGAGGGGTTGATTTCAGAAGAGTACTGCAAATTTTTATCCCACCATAGGTAAGTGCTATTATTGTTCCCATTTTATAAATAAGGAAGATGAGATCTAGAGAGATTGAGAAGCTGGAGTTTTTGAGACAGAGCCAGAAGTCAAGGCTGGAAGCTGGGCACTTGTGTCTGTTGGCGGTGTCCCAACTCTCACTTCCTCTCCCCCACCTAGACAATGCTGGGGCCAGGCCCTCCCCGGCTTTGGGAGGCCCCTTGTGGTCTGGCCATGCTCATCATGCAGCTCCGGTGCCAGCACACTAAACCACAGGAGAAATCTCTGCATCCTGCAGTACTCTGCAATCTCTCTCAGCCCTTCCTCCCTGCAGTCTGGTGTCAGATGGTAGCGCTGGGGCTCTGATCAATCCTCAGCTATGTAGTTGTCTGGCTGTGTGACCTGGGGCAAGTATCTCTTCCCCCATCCCCTGAGCTTCAGTTTCCCCATCTGTGACCTGGGGATTCTGGTGGTTATTGAGCATGTGTTCATTGAGGGCCTGCTCTGGCAGGCAATGTGCTGGAAGCTGGGAATGCAAAGGGGAGTGAGACTGTCCCAGTGTCCCCGTGTCCCACAGTGGCTTGCCTACCTGGCATGGAGGTGGACATATTGCAGGCATTCAAGGAAGGGAGCTCTCCTGTGGTGCAGGATTTGCATGATTTGCTGCTGACAGCCCAGCAGTCCAGCCTCCTCTGTGGTGGCCTCTCAGGGAGCCTCTCTTTGATTAATGAGTGCCTTTGTCCCTAAAGGACGAGCTGCTGGCTGCCTTCATGTTTCATCTGGCTGCTAAGGCCCCCAAACAGTTGGCAAAGCAGTTGGTATCATGGACTATTTTTAGGTGGGGGAGTTAGTGGGGTGTGTGGATGTGGTGGGGCCCAGGGGGAGTCCAGGAGACAGGGAGCATCACAAGCAACAAGATGAGGGGAGAACAGGAAGGATGCTCTCTCTCAAGAATGTGTGGGCAAATTTTCACATCTCCTTCACGACTGGGGCCAAAGACCACCTCCTCTGTACAGCCTTCCTTGATTTCTTCAATAAATGCACCAAAGACTCAGGTTAAGGGCTACCCTCTGGTCTTCCCCCAGCTCTTGGTTATGGTTCCAAACATACTGAGAAATAATGTGCCGTAGGGTTCTTATCTGATGCATCTCTGGGTCTCTCCTGCTCTGCACCTCTGAGTCCCATCCTGCCATTTCTCATCATAACAACAAGGTATAGAATAGAAGTTAGGAGTCCAGATTTTGGAGTCACACAGCTGAGACCTACTCTTGGCTCCTTTCTAGCAAGATAACCACGACCAAGTTAGGTTTGCACAACTGTTTCGTCATCTGTAAAATGGGTGATTATCGTGCCTGCCTCCTAGAAATTAAAGGGCTTATCTTGCTCAAAGCACAGAGTATAATACCTGGCATAGATTGACAAATCTCTTGCAAGCCCAGGCCCAGAAGGAACTGCACACAACCCAAAGCCCCCCTTGTGGCTTCTTGGGTATGATGTGCATGCTAGCTGGAAGGAGGGAAGTGTTCCCGGACACCCCGGGGCCTAGAGGCAACCCAGCGAGAGAATGGAGGAGCGAGGCTAAAGACAAGGTCTTCGAATCTAGTCAATTGTAGCATTTTCCCCTCAGCCTCCCTGCTAACGTACACCCCCTCCTCCGACTCTCTAGTATTTTCCTTCTCTCCTTCCCGCCCCCGCTTCTAATTCTGCAGCTACCCCAGGTGGGAAGACGGGTCTCGGGGTGACGGGCGTGGGGGTGGGGGAGCAGGTGGATAGTCCCGGCCCAAGGTGGGGAAAGGCGCCTCCCGCGCAGTACAAAGGCTCCGGCTTGCGGTGGGGGAGGGGGCGCCCGTGTCTCTAGGAGAACCCGGAAGTCCCCAGAAATGAGGGCGGGGTCTGAGGGAGCCTGAACTGGGGGATGGGTCTCACAGATACCGGGGAGTCCCCGAACCAGTAAAGATGCGCTAGGGAGTTCCTGAGACGGAGTGTGGGCGGAGCTTCCCAGGGCCTGGGGGCGGGGCTATGGAGGGGCGTGGTCTCCCACGAAGGGGCGGAGCTCTGTTGACTAGGGCTAAGCTTCGCCGCAAGAGGCGGAGTTTCGGGTGGGGCGGGGCTTTAAGGGGGCGGGGCATCGGGACAAGGGGCGGAGTGTGGAGCTTCGCGCTCGCCCCCTCCCCCGGCCCCGGGTGTCCCCGTGACGAGGCAGCGCGGAGCCGCCGCGGGCCGGGCCCATCCCGCCGCAGCGGCCCCGGGGCCGAGCAGGGGCGAGGCGCGGAGGGAGCGGCGCCGAGTGGGGCCGGGAGCGCGGCCAGGTGAGACCGCCGGGGCGGAGGGGGCGGGGGCTGCGCCGGGCGGGCCCCGGCGGGCGCGGGGGGCGTGTTTGCGTGTCTGAGGGTGGCAGGGGGAGTGGGTCCGAGGGCTGGCGCAGGGGGTTGTTTGCGCGCTCGCGGGTCCCGAGTGGGCTCTGCGCCCGTCCGGGCACTGCCCGCGGGGCTCGGGGTGTGCGGGACTGTGTGCGTGCGCGCGCGTGTTTGTGGCGAGGGGCCGCCGGGTGTGTATCTGCGTATGCGCTGGGCCGTCATTGTGCCTGCCCCGGGCGCGGGGCTCGGGGCTCGGGGCGCGGGCCTGCCCCGGCGCAGTCCCTCCTGCGCGGGGATGTTTTCCAAACAGGCTTCCTGCGGAGACTGGCTCTGCTGCAGCCCCAGCCGGAGGGGGGAGCGCCGCCCCCACAGGCCTCCAGAGACCCGGGCGGCCCTGGGACTGCAGACAGACACCTGAGGGAGGGAGGGGGCGCGCACCCGGGAGGGGTCCAGAGGCCCGCCCGCCGGGCGGAGCCAAGATGGGGAGACTGAGGCAGATGGATGGGGAGGAGAAGGTGGCCAGACAGGATGACATGAGGAGGAGGGTGGGAAGAGAGACGGGCGAAAAGGACAGCCCCGGGAGGACAGAGAGTCATTGAGGAAAAAGACAGACAGACAGAGGCCTAGACCTGCAAGGGACTAAATGATTAAGATAGATAGATTCCAAGAGCCCAACGGAAGGGTTACTCTGAGGCCCCGGAGCCAAGAGCCAAACCCAGGAACTGAATCTAAGATGAGGAATAAGGGCCCTCTAACTCTTGAGGTGTCTCTCTTCCAAGCACATCCCAGACTCTGGGGTCCTAGCCAAAAAGAAGCCTCTGGCCACCCCAAGTTGGTCTACCCCTCTGGCCCTACCAGATATCCCGACCCTCTGATTGTGGGGCCCTTTCCTCTTGGTTCCATCCCACCCATTTCCCTTCCCTGGTATCCCAGCAACCCCCAGGCAGGTTAAAGGAGACAGAGGTGGAGTGGTTGCCATAGCAACAGAGGTGGTGAAAGGTCACTCTGGCCTTTGCCTAGGTGGTCCTGGCAGCAGGCCTGAGCTGGCATTGAGGGGGTTGGGATGAGAGGTTGCAAAATTCTTTTTCTCCTCTCCCACTCTGCGCAGAATGGTGCTAGAAGGAAACCCTGAAGTGGGGTCTCCCCGAACCTCAGACCTCGGGCACCCAGGGAGCCAGGGCTCTTGTGTCCTCTCTTCTCCTGGTGAAGATGCGCAGCCAGGCGAGGAGCCCATCAAGTATGGCGAACTCATCGTCCTGGGGTGAGCGACCCTGGCCCAGGTGGGGCAGGGCACCAGGCATCCCCCAGGGCAACCAGATCAAGGGCCCCAGCTCTCCCCACATATGACCTTCTGCTGTTTGTCCCTCCTCACCTCCCCAACTGAGAGAGTTGACCAAACCCACCTCAATTCCTGTTATTTTATCTTCCCATTTTTAATAAATTCCTGAGAAAACTCCGACTGCCCACCTAAGTTTCTGATCAGAAATAAAGTAGCACCATCTGCCTTTCATAAAGCACCTAGTATACGTAGTCTGGGGTGAAGAACTTTGGTTCTCCAGCAAAAATACTTGGTTCAAATCCTGCCTCTGCAAGTAGCTTAACTTCCCTGTGCCTCCATTTTCCCACCTTACAAATAGGGATGATAATAATACCTCAGAGGGTTTTTGGAGGAATGAATGAGGTGATTTCTGTAAAGCACGTAGAACAGTGCCTGGCACATATCAAGTGTTCTGGGAGGCAGGCTTGTGCCAAGCCCTTTCATGGACATTATTTCATTTCAATCTTCACAAAGATGCTGTGAGGAAGGAGGTGAGGAAACCGAGGCTCAGAGAGGGGAAGTGACTGGTCCAAGGGCACACAGCTGGTAAGTGGCAGGGCTGGGATTCGGACCCAGGTCTTTCTTACTCCAGGTCTAGTGCACATTCACTAAGCCACAGCTGACCCTCACGCTACAGATGAGAACCGAGGCCAGGAGAGAGGAAGCGATGTGAGTTGGTGGTCCGTGGGTAAACTTCATCCCTTCCTGGTCTCCGCCTGACCGGGATCCCTGCACCACCCGCTTAACTCCACCCCCAGGCACAGATCCCTCTTCTGCCTCCTCCATCCACACCTTTTGGCCTCTCTCTCTGCCATCTGCCCCGAAGAAAATATTTGAGAAGCTATGCTGTCATTATGATTACTTAGAAATAATAGAGGCTGTTATACATGTACACGCCATGTGCTTTTCCCCTAATAATCATAGTTAACGTTTATCAAGGGCCTGCTGTAGATCTGTCACACTCTGTGCCGGACATTTTTTAAATGCTTGATGTCATTTAGTTCTCGCAATGAACCTGTGGGGTAGGTCCTGATTAATTAGCACCGTTTTACAGAGGTCATGTGATAAGTGGAAGAGCCAGAATTTAAGCCAGGCCCACCTGAGCCTCAAGCCCATGTCCTGAACTGGCCCACACCCCATAGGTGGGAAGATTTTACAAGGGCAAAAGTGATCCCCCTCTCAGGGATGCTTGCATGATAGGAGCAGCTGCTTGGTGTCCCAAAGGAAGGGCAGGCTTTCCAGTTGAGGGTGAGGCCACTGATGGGGGGAGAGTGCAGACCTAAGGGTATAGGCCCTCTTGACAGCTGTTTGTTCTCTGTAGAGCAGTGCAGCCCCACACTGGTTATAGAGCCACTCGGAGAGCACATTGAAAATACTCATTGACAGGCCTGTCCGAAACCTGCAGAATCAGAATCTCCATGGGTAGAGCCAGGAAATCTGTAGTTTAACGAGCTCATGAGAAGACTCTGATTTAAGTGGGCCTTATCTGTATTTGGCAGCTCTTCATCCTAGGACTGCCTGCTCTAAATCCTTCCATGGCTCCCTAGTCTTCCAGAAAGAAGTCCAGGCTCTTAAGCTTGGTGTTCAGGGCCCTTCCAGCAGCTTCATCTTCCTCTACTGCAGTTTATCACCCAAATCGCCACTCCCTGATCTCACCAAACCCTGCCAGTCTCATGACCTTTGCTTGGGGTGAGCCTTCCCTCGGGAAGGGCCTCTGCAAGAAAGGCCGGAGTCAGACGACCCAAGTTCAAATCTCTGACTTTTTCACTTACTAGCCTGGGACCTCAGGCAGGTCATTTTACCTCCCTGAGCCTCAATTTTTCTCATTTGTAAAATGGGAAGAAAGGTACTTGCCTGGCAGGACATTGCACAGATTCCATTAGGTAATTAATAACGTGAAGCACCGGGAACACGGGAGGCTCCAGTACATGGCAGTGACCAAGGCTGTGACTCACCCCATCTTTGCCTTCCACAATCACCCCCTCTGGATAAGAGCTGGAAGGAAGGTAGAAATTTGACATGTTATGGATATATGGAGGTGGTGGCATTGTGGGTCTGTCCTTTCTTTCTTTCTTTCTTTCTTTCTTTCTTTCTTTCTTTC